GCTACTTCAGCTGACTGCAGTTCTGCAGTTCGGCTGTTCAAATCTCACCGGCTCAAGGTTGACTCAGCCTTCCATCCTTCCGAGGTGGGTAAAATGAGGACCCGGAGCCAAGGTGGCGCAGTGGTTAAATGCAGCACTGCAGGCTACTTCAGCTGACTGCAGTTCTGCAGTTCGGCTGTTCAAATCTCACCGGCTCAAGGTTGACTCAGCCTTCCATCCTTCCGAGGTGGGTAAAATGAGGACCCGGAGCCAAGGTGGCGCAGTGGTTAAATGCAGCACTGCAGGCTACTTCAGCTGACTGCAGTTCTGCAGTTCGGCTGTTCAAATCTCACCGGCTCAAGGTTGACTCAGCCTTCCATCCTTCCGAGGTGGGTAAAATGAGGACCCGGAGTGTTGTTGGGGGCAATATGCTGACTCTGTAAACCGCTTAGAGAGGGCTGAAAGTCCTATGAAGCGGTATATAAGTCTAACTGCTATTGCTATTGCTATCTACCCTTTTTATTATTATTCAAATAAAGAGCAAGGCCAAACTAGCCCACAATAAAGGAGACAGCACTTGTAATGGTGCTTAAGGGAGATCTTTTGAGAGATCATTTGGGACTTAACAAGGCAGATAAAACTCGATGATTTTTAAAAAATAAAAAAAATAAAAAATTAGATTTTTTTAAAAAAAATCAGATTTTTTAAATTTTAATTGGATTTTTTTTTAAATTTTTGTCAAATGTATTTTAATAAAATGCTTTGGGAGTAAAAAAATCTAAAGAGTTTTCTATTGGGGATACATTCGTAATTTAGTTTTATTCCGCATGAAAAGGAGCTTAGTTATGTAGCATATGAAGCTGTATATTCTGCCATATTGGGGCTGTCGGTGAGTCAACAGGAGGTCAGAGGAAGAGCCGCTACGGGACAGAGATGACAGCTGCTCTTTAAAAATTATGATTTAAATTGAGTTGATTTAAATCAAGCCTTTTTACTTGTGATTTAAATCGCTGATTCAAATCCACCCCGGGGGCTTCATTAGGTAGAAGTCTTGTTCTGAATGTTGGCACCTCTGCTGTCTCTTGTTGCAGATATTGATGAGTGTCGGGAGATCCCAGGGGTATGTGAGAATGGGATTTGCATAAACCTGGTTGGCAGTTTCCGATGTGAATGTGCGGGCGGCTTCTTTTACAACGACAAGTTATTGATCTGTGAAGGTAAGTTGCTTCTGCACAGAATCGCTCTTCTGACCTAGGTTTCCCCAGCAGCACGAAGCCGAGTCCTCGTCCCGATAAACCCCTTTTATTTAATTGACAGTGAATTCCTCTCCAGCAAAGTCTTTCCTCTCCCACAGACTTTCAAGATGGTTCACCATTACCGAACTTTATCAAGCTTGGAGAGTGACCAGGCCGATATCTTTCAGATGCCGCAATACTTGGCAAGAACGCAGGAGTGAACTAATTGTCTCCTGCAAACTCCACTCCCCTTTCGCTCCTCTTTTATTCCCTGTGGGCCAGGGAAGGTGGATGGCCATTCACCATCCACCTGTCACTTTACTCCCAAGTCGACCCTTGTTCCTTAGCTGTTCCTTTCATCTGGGAACTCTGCGCATGAGCACACTGGGAACAGGCTCCAGCTGTTCGTCTGACTCACTGATGTCTGACTCTGAAGGCAGCTGATAAGTGTCAGATGGCCCTGGCCCCCTCTCTGCCTCTGACACAGAGCCCTCATCACAGCCTTCCCCAGACTCCAGGACTGGCCCAGGTTCCTCCCCAACCTCCTCACTGTCCGAATCTTCTGCCAGCTCTGCTGGCGGGCCATAACAATAATTTGCAGTGGGTAGAGAAAGAAATAACACTGCTTGCAACCAAAAAGGTGGGATTCTCAGGGCATCCTTAATCAGCTCGATTTTGGAAACCACATCTTTGGTCTTAGCGCCCCATTTATCAGTAAGTTCTATTGCTATTGCTATAATTTTGAGAAGTTGCTTTTTTCAACATGGTCGTAACTTCAGACTGTCATTAAATGAATGGTTGTATGTTGAGGACTATCAGTACATTAAGGGCAAGATCTTTTTGATTCTTCTGAATCCCTTTTGTTGGTCGAAGAGAGATGCTGCTGTCTACTTGTCCTATTATACGTAAGGAAGGCACAGATGTCTATGACTACAATATAGTGCAAACTGTCACTTTCATTCCCACTGTCACTTTCATGACACCCTTGCTAATGTTTCTGGGCTGTGTTTTGCATTCGGTTTATAGCAAAGTTCATTAAAATCCACCTCTTCCCGGGACTTTATAGGAGAAATTCTCCTTTAGCAGCTGCGCAGTATGCCTGCTTTAATACTTCTGCAAATTTGAAGCCTCCTTTCTGAAATGAATCTGAAATAACACACAGCCTTCATCTCTAATACCAATTATCAATTCTAAGACCTTTCTTTAAAAAAAAAAACAACTTCCAATAGATATTGATGAATGCCAGAATGGACCAGTTTGTCAACAAAATGCGGATTGCGTGAACACACAAGGGAGCTACCGCTGTGATTGTAAACCTGGTTATCGATTTACATCTGTTGGACGATGTGTTGGTAAGTACTAATACTATATGAACAACACTGTAAAATATGTAAGCATGCTAAGTGATTGGTGGAATAGGGATACTTAAAAAATATATACACAGGCACAGCAGCTGCATTAAATCTCTCTTTTTTAAAAAAAAATGCAATGCCATGTTGTTTTGACCTTGAATCCATAAATTGTTTTTTTTCCACTCACGAAGATGCCAAAGGAACTTTGCAATGTTTATATTTTCTTAGACCGAAAAATTCAGTCACAACCAAGCCAAAGAGAATGCACTGTCTTTCTTCAACACAACAGATGCCAGGTTTTTTTTGCTAAGTGTAGAGTACCCAGTTTTAAGCATATAAACATACTGTATGTGAGCAGCTGATTTAAACCAGCAATCTCAAAGTGTTTCAGTACTATATATTTCAAAATCTAGTTTCCTTATTTGTTTTAAAGGGCAAATTTAGTTTCATAGCTCTCCCTCTTTCTCTGTCTCTGCTTGTAGGAACCCAAAGTAACTAGCAGCAATTGAGCATCAACCAAATGTCATAACAATCGTGAACATTCCCCATAATTGAACTCAATTTAGAATTCATTGGCCGCCTATTCATAAGGAACTCTGTCATTATCATTATTATTGATTTAATCTTCAGTTCAATTCACAGTCTGCGACTGGTAAAAATTGAACAGTTCAAGTCCTAACTTAGGACCTAAGCGCTGTTAAGGTACTGTCTAATTATATAGGAAGTTCCAAGTAGGGTGTATTTTTGAAAAGNGTCTCCTGCAAACTCCACTCCCCTTTCGCTCCTCTTTTATTTCCTCTGGGGGGGGGGCATTCATCGTCCACCTGTGGCCTTATTCCCAAGTCAACCCCTGTTCTTTAGCTGTTCTCTTTGTCTGGCAATTCTGCGCATGCGCACACTGGGAACAGGCTCCAGCTGTTCTTCTGCCTCACTGATGTCTGACTCTGAAGGCAGCTGATAATGGCATACGGCTCTGGCCCCCTCTCTGCCCTCCGACACAGAGCCCCCATCAGAGCCTTCCCCAGACTCCAGGACTGGCCCAGGTTCCTCCCCAACCTCCTCACTGTCCGAATCTGCTGCCAGATCTGCTGGTCACTGGCGGGCCACAACACAACCAAGATTCTTGATGTTGGAAAAAGAAAACTGGAGTACCAACGCCATCCGTCCTTTTTCCTAAAAATTAATTCTGCATACAGCGTCCTGAAATTAAGCCAACTGCAATTATGGAAGAACATTGTTCTGTGTGGGTTTTTTGCCTTTGGTTGCATGGGAAGTGCAGGGCTGGGTGGGAGAGGTTGCATAAAGGATCTTCCTCAGCAGATTGTATCCCAAGAGTCCTCGACTTACAACAGTTCATTTAGTGACCGTTCAAAGTTACAACAGCACTGGGGGAAAAATGACTTGGGATCACTTTTCACACTTGTGACCATTGCAGCATCCCGGTGGTCACGTGATTTACACTTGGATGCTTGACCACTGACTCATATCTATGTCGGTTGCCATGTCCCAGGTCACGTGGTCCCCTTTCATGAGTGAGGGAGGAAGGAAGGAAAGAAAGAAAGAAAGAGAAAGGAAAGAAAGAAAAAGAAATAAAAAGAGGAAGGGAGGAAAGAAAAGGAAAGTAAGAGGAAGGAAGAAAAGAAAGAAAGAAAAAAAGAAAAAAAGAGGAAGGAAGGAAATAAAGAGGAAGAAATGAAACAGGAAAGAAGGAAGGAAGGAAAGAAAGGAAAGAATGAAAGGGGGAGGAAAGAAAGAAAGGGAAGGAAAGCAGGAAGCAAAGAAAGAAGGAGGAAGAAGGAAGAAGGAAGGAAAGAAAGGAAAGAAAGGGGAAGGAAGGAAAGAAAGAGGAAGGAAGGAAAGAGGAAGGAAGGAAAGAGAAGAGAAGGAAAGAAAAAAGAAAGAAGGAAAGAGGGAGGGAGGAAAGAAAGAGAAAAAGGAAAGCAGGAAAGAAAGAAAGAAAAAGAGGAAGGAAAGAAAGAGAAAAGAAGGAAGGAAGGAAAGGAAAGAGGGAGGAAGGAAAGAAAGAAAGAGAGAGAGAGAGAAAAAGGAAAGCAGGAAGGAAGAAAAGAAAGAAAGAGAAAGGAAGAAAAGAAAAAGAAAGAAAAAGGCAGGCAGGCAGGCAGCAGGATAAGAGACTTTGTGGTGATGAGGATTGATGATGAGGAGGATGGACCTGGTGCCAGGCCACTAATATGCTTCTCCCTTGTTGCAGATGTGAGGAGAAGCCTCTGCTACAGGAACTACAATGTTGACAATCAAACCTGCGATGGGGAGCTGCTGTTTAACATGACCAAAAAAATGTGCTGCTGTTCTTACAACATTGGACGTGCCTGGAACAGGCCTTGCGAACAATGCCCCATCCCAAGCACTGGTTCGTACTGGGCATATTGGTCTCTTAAAAAAAAAAAAAGATATTGCAGAGCAGGAACCGAATAACGATTTTATTATACAGACAATAAATAGATGCCTTTGAGAAGTAAGAGTTGGCTGGAGAGGGAGCATTGTTATTTCATTGAATTTCTTTTATATATATATACATTCACATGGAGTTCTTCCCCTCTCTTTTTTTTTATCATTTTATTTTATTTTTTAAATAAATTATTTATTTATTTATTTCCAAAACAAACATGTTGTAAAAAGTATATCAGCTGGTTGCAAAAAGCTTTTGTGCATCTCTTCCACTGTCATCAAATATAATTCATATTAATTCAAATGTCTTAACTCAAATATTTACTATATTAACATCATCATACCTCCACTTTTANTTAGATCATAATGCTGTTGATGTTATGACTGAACAAGACAAAAACACAGCACCAGCCCACCATTTTGAGAATGTTTTCGGGGAGCGTAAACAATTATGATCTAACAGCAGCAATTGCTGTCTTGTTAATACACTTGGGTGGGGGGATAGAGTTCAGCATCCCTGTTTAAACTCCAGCTTCCCCCCCAAAAAACTAAACAAACCTACTTCCAAATAGGCTGTAGTTTTTCCTTGCCAAATTTATAATGCTCCTTCTTCGTTAATGAGTCTTGGTTTCAGTACATATGAGTCAAGCATTAAATCACATTTTATAACCTATGAACATTCTTTGTCCTCTCCAGATATTAACGAATGTGATCTGAATCCAAACATCTGCCTGAGCGGAAGCTGTGAGAATACAAAAGGCTCTTTCATCTGCCACTGTGAAATAGGCTACTCTGGAAAGAAAGGGACAACGGGTTGCACAGGTAAGTTTTTACCTAGGAGGGTGTGATGGTTCTTAAAAACCATCACGCGTCGTATAGTTCTAAGCTCTCATCTGCATTGATGTAATAACGCCTGCCATAGTAGGATTAATTTAAGATGAGCTGGGTTGTGAAAGACACAGATTTTGCCTTATTGAAATATTGTCTGTTTTCCTTCTGTGTCAAGGTCTTTATTTCTGCAATACATCCTTATCTCTGTTATTGCAAATTACTGTATTTTTTGGAATATAAGACATACCTTTTTCCCTCAAAAAAGGGGGTGAAAATCTGGGTGCATCTTATACATTGAATACAGCGTTTTTGGCCTCCAGAAACCCCACCCCCTTTGCAAAAATGGCCCTGCATAGCCTTTGGGAGGCTTCCAGAGTGCTCCTGGGGGCTGGGGAGGACAGAAATGAGTGGAAAATAGGCCTTTTTTGCTCATTTTTGCCTCCCAGCCCCCAGGAGCCCTCCATAAGCCTCCTAAAGGCTATGCATGCCCTTTTTTGACAAAAAAACGGGCCCATTTTTGCGAAAAANTCACATTATATAAAAATAATCTCATCCATTAACTATAAGCCTACTTAATCTACCCTTCTGTCCAATCACATTATTTACAGTTTGTTCCAGTCTTGTCACCTTGTCTTATACCAATGATAAAGTCTGTTCCATGCTTCAAAGTATTCCGATTCCCCTTTATTTTTTTAGTTCAAGAGTGAGCCTATCTGCGCAGGCCAATTTTTTTCTGAATATATCTAACTCTGATGGCGTATTTTCTTTTGGTGGAAATTGCATCTTGTGTAATTCAGGAAAGTCCTTGCATTAAGGAAGCGCAGTCAATGGAGTAGGCTGCTTGAGGGCTCCCTGGTGCTCTCTGAGCGTGCTTGTTTTCTTGCAGACGTTTCATTACCCAAACTAGCTAACGTCATCAGTGCTAGCAAGGAGTAGACAGTTTCCAATGGGATCTCTAGAACAGGTTGACTTGTCAACCAAATCCTTGACTTAAGCCATTGGGGGCCTGACTTCATTGCTGTGCAAGATTAAGTGAATCGTGCCTGACTTTATGACTCTTTTGCCATGGTTGTTAAGTGAATTAGATGGTCATTAAGCAAATCCACTTCCCCCTTGACTTTGCTTGTTGGAAGCCAAGGTCACAGACAGGGATCACGTTGACCCCAGGATGCTGCCACAGTCATAAGTATGTGGACCGGTTTAAGTCATCTTTTGAAGGGCCATTGTGAACTTTGCTAAATGAACAGTGGGTCAGTCAAGGATTATCTGTAATTCTCATGAGAGAAATTAAAATGCAAATAATGGACCTTGTTTTCTATATCTATTTAAAAAGAAAACAAAGGCTCTCTCCCAGCTTATATCATGGTTATTAATGTAGCATCATCAGAATCATCTGGTAATTTTCAGTAGAACTGGGCAATCTTTTGTGGCTTAGTTGGGTGCAGTGAATAATGTTCTTGGTTCTAAGAAGAATTGTTGTTGTTAGTTGCGAAGTCATGTCCAACCCATCGTGACCCCATGGACAACCTTCATCCAGGCTTCCTGTCCTATCCTCTGAAATCCATTTAAGCTAACGCCGACTGCTGGGGTGACTCCATCCAGCCATCACATTCTCTGCCGTCCCCTTCTTCTTTTGCCCTCAATTTTTCCCAGCATGAGGCTCTTCTCCAGGGANGGGGGCAGCTCATTCCAGAGGGAAGGTGCTCCCACAGAGAAGGCTCTCCCCCTGGGGGTTGCTAGCCGACACTGTCTGGCTGATG